GTTAGCGCACTTGCCTTTCACCTCTGAGGCTGCAGGTTCGAGTCTCACTAAGTACCTTCTCAGTGCGACTCGAACCCAGTCCCCATGTGAAAAGAGTAAAAGTCAACGCTCTGCCGAAAGCCGTGGGTTTTCCCCGGGTACTCCGGTTTCCTCCCACAGGGAAAGTTGACAGGGTGGGTTAGGTAAAAAAGGGCCCACAGTAATTGGCATATGCTGTTGTGGTGACCCTGCCCTAGTTGGCAAAGCTAAATAAATAAAAATAAATAAATAAATAAATAGATTAATAGCATTCAACAACATTTAGTTTTTTGTTTAAGACATGGAATTTCATACAATTTGTAATGGGCAATTTTGTTAGATCATGAAGTGCGACTATTAAGATTAAATTGCTCAAAATACGTCACGTCACACTTCATTATAAAATCCCGGGACCCGGGGAAGCGGGACCATGGCTTGGGACTTGGCATGGCGATCGTGTTTAGATGTCTGATATGTTGGATAAGTTGCAGGAAAGTATGGGTAATATCTTCATTTTTCTTCAGTTTGTCATGGATAACGTAGCTGCTTAAAATTAATCAATTGTCAGTATTTTAAAGTGGAAGTCAAGTCCGTAATGTAAACAAACAGTTTGTTTACATTTTGAATTGGTATATTTTTTAAAATACGATGTACTGTCTGAATATCTAACACCATTTTGGTTCGCTATGCTTCTAAATGAATATGAAATAGAGTTTATGTTCAGAAAAATTCGAAACATTCGAAATTTGGGCAATCAATTTACATAGAGGGCCCTCACATTGTTACGAGCAGAACCGATGCGCAGAACGGACTTGACTTCCACTTTATGGCATGCTTTTAGAAAAAGAATGATTATTAGCAAATTAGTTTCTTAAAAGAGAAAGTCGCTTACATGCAGTTATTGTGCTTATAACAAAGTAAATTCAGCGCATGGCCTATATACATCTGCATACAAACAAAGTGACAAAACGTCACTAATTACATTGTAGTCACATCGCGAGTTTAATAAAATCTAGCCCTATAATCTCAATGATTTATGCGACTACTTCAAACAAAACTAAGCACATATATTTCAGTTTGAAAAAAGTAGATAATACGGATATTTTACGAGCTATTGAGACTTTGAGTGGTGGCCTGGATTTAAGCAGGCTATCAATAACTGGTCTTTTGTCTTAATATTAATTATGTGTCAAGTCGCGCGCACGGAGCTTTTGCAACATGATGTTCATACTGCATGACTATTTATTTCTCTAAAATCCCGATAAACAAGCAAAATAATTTAAAATAATTTATAATTTAACTGTCAAAACCAAATAACAAGAGAAAACAAGTATAAATCCTCACGTTTCGACCGTCTATCTTAGGCCGTTTGCCGTGACCTAAAAATATGCCTAGAAAACGATTTTCATTAAGCATGTCGTGGAACTGAAATATTTTCACGGTAACTAACATTTTAGAACACGCTGAATTCAAATCCGAAAAGTTGCCGCTCCGTAGACCCGCAGTTTTTTCACAAATTGCATTTGTATTTTCAGTTCTTCGACGATCCACAAAAATAAAGATGCGCCATTTTGAAATTTTAATAACATCACTCAGAGTATGCCGTTTAACCCGTTTTTGCTCCCCAGTCTTCGATGCTCATGACCGAGTTAAGACTTAGAGCAATGTTATTAAATTTGCTGCAAAACAAACACAGTCACGTGGTTTTAAAAATGGCTTGTCAGAGTGATTTTCAGTTTATTTGACAGTAAAATCGCTAGAGAATGAGAAATAAAAGTTTAAATTATTTATTTGGCAGAGAAAAGCAATAAGGTAGGTGTTCTCTGTGTATATTTTTTGAGTTTGTTTAACTAAGTGAACAACCATCACGATTTATTCAGCTTTTTAACAGCTCCCAGACACACATATAAGGAAAGGATGAATTAAGGCCAGTCTGCTTGAAAACTCACAGTAAAATCATATCGAGTTTGCTGTTTATGGGAATTATTGTTGATCATAAGGTGTAAAGTAATTTATAGAAACTGTTATTCAAATATTGATTTATCACCCCATGAAATGTCAGGAAGGCCAACAAAACCATGAATATTTGCATAGTATAAATGATTATTATATCTGCATAACCTGCTGCTGACTTATTTATTCCATGCCTTATTGCATCTTCAAGATTTAGACTGTGCTAGAATATACAGTGTACACACAAGAATATATAATAGGAATAGGATATACAAATAAGATTCTGCATGAATAGATTGGGTCTAAACTTGTATTAATTCCTTCAATTACAAGGAAAGATGTATGGCTGACAGAGATCAGCCTGGTTTTGAGATCTACAGATTACAGTAGCCGCTCATATAAGCAGCCCCTAAATTAGAATATCCACCTACAATCCTGCAAAAATACTTAAATACAAATACCTGCCTTGCCCAAACATATGTGCAAAAACAGCATTTTTTAACTGTTAAAAAGCTTCTAGATCGGTTAGGCGAAAGCTCTGTGACTGATGGGGGAGATGAAGATGCCAACATGTGTATGTGAACAGTAATACTTTAATCGTTCACACCTGTAAGTGTCCACAGAATTTGCCATGATTGTAGCTATGGGTGGAAGCAAAACTGTGAGTTCAAAATATATTCAACAGCATAAATGTTTTGTTGCCCAATTTGACAAAGTAATACTTTCTATGTTGTTATGCTGGTTTTTCCAGCTAAGTGACAGTAAACAAGCTGTTTGTTTTGTTTTATAATCTGTTGGAAATAAGGAAAAATACATGAGTCCCAGGCAGCCGTGCTTGGATCTTAACCCTTTAAAATAGTTGCATTGCTCCCCAATGCACCCTACTTTATTAGTCTACTCTGTCTAATGCCAGACAATTTTACTCGTCAAGTGGAAAAGTGCTAGTGCTCATGCAATAGGTTAAACACCCAGGTCACTAACCTGGTGCTCTACTATGCAGTTGAGCTAAATGTGATCAATGACAGGCTGCGCTCAGATTTGTGTACTCTGCCCTGAATGGGGAAAGCCACATGCAAATGAAAAACATTTAATACAACTTTAGACCCAATCTATTCATGCAGAGTCTTATTTGTATATCCTATTATATATTCTTGTGTGTATAGTGTATATTCTAGCACAGTCTAAATCTTGAAGATGCAATAAAGCACGGAATAAATAAGTCAGCAGCAGGTTATGCAGATATAATAATCATTTATACTATGCAAATGTTCATGGTTCTGTTGGCCTTCTTGACATTTCATAGGATGGGGTGATAAATCAATTTTTGAATAACAGTTTCTATGATTTACTTTACACCTTATGACTAACAATAATTCCCATAAACAGCAAACTTGATATGGAACAATTTTACTGTGAGTTTTCAAGCAGACTGACCTTAATTAATCCTTTCCTTATATGTGTCTGAGAGCTATTAACCTGAATAAATCGTCATGGTTGATGATTGTTCACTTATTAATCACTTGTTTGTTCTTCTATAGGCCATTACCCAAAACAAACTCAAAAATATACACAGAAAGCACCTACCTTATTGCTTTTCTCTGCCAAATAAATAATTTAAACTTTTATTTCTCATTCTTTAGCGATTTTACTGGCAAATAAACTGAAAATCACTCTGACAAGCCATTTTTAAAACCACGTGACTGTGTTTGTTTTGCAGCAAATTTAATAACATTGCTCTAAATCTTAACTCGGTCATGAACATCGGAGACTGGGGAGCAAAAACGGGTTAAACGGCATACTCTGAGTGATGTTATTTAATTTCAAAATGGCGCGTGTTTATTTTTGTTCGTCGAAGAACTGAAAATACAAATGCAATTTGTGAAAAAAACTGCGGGTCTACGGAGCGGCAACTTTTCGGATTTGAATTCAGCGTGTTCTAAAATGTTAGTTACCGTGAAAATATTTCAGTTTCACGACATGCTTAATGAAAGTGAACGATATCGGGTCACGGCAAACGGCCTATCTGAGCAGAACTGTGTCTGGACGTACTATATCTGTCTATAAGTGTCTGTCTACAATAATCGGCTGTATATTATAGACATTATAATTTCGTGAGAATAAAACACCCCATAATATTTTTAGCACCAGATTTGAGAGCAACATTTGCCCATACATTTGTCTAAATTTGAAGGAAATCGGAGTTTTACCGGAAAGGGAAAATTGATTTTCAAAACATGACCCAAAATTAAAATTTTTTAACTTAAGGTTTTTCTTGTGATTTTCTCGATATTTTAGTCAGTATAATTCCGCGGTAACAAAAAGCTCCAAAATAATTTTTACATCAGCTTTTTGAGCAACAGTTTCTCTTTAAATTTTCTAATTTTCAAGGAAATTGGAGTTTTCCCGGATACGGAAAATTAATTTTTAAAAAGTGTACCAATTTAGAATTTTTTGGATTGCAAAATAAGGCGATTTTTACACGCTTGCATTGACTTTGAAACATCATTTAAAAGATTGCAAAATAGACTACCGTTGTTTATAAACATCTTATATACACGTTTAAAAATCGAAAGTGAGGTTTCCTGAAGACGCGAACTGAGCAAAACGCAGTTTTCGAGAGGCTATGACTCACTATGTTTTTGGCTAATTTCACGAATCTTCGGTACATGTCAGGTTTTGATAATTTTTCGCCGTTTAAAATAATATTTCAGAAAACAAACCCCATCACGTTTCTGAGTATACATTAGTGTATCACTGGACAAAATAAGAAAACATTTCAGTTTTCATCATGCGCCACTTGTTGCTCGGTGATAGTGGAGATTCCCTCTTAAAAAGGTTTAAATAATAAAGACGATAAGCAGAAGCTCTAGATCTACAGATTAAAGTAAACCTGCAAAATTTTGATGGCTAATCGAGGCGGTGTATGTTTTTTTATCTAGTACTTAAACATTTACCTCCCAAAATAGCGAAATTCAAACAATTACGCGAAATAGTGTGTTGTGACCTCAATTAACGAATATTATATAATCTTATTTAATTAACGAATAATTCAGTTTACGTACGCCACCATAAGTAACATCCCCAGGTTGTTTTGGTCGGAGATTGACCCAGGTTATGACCGTTACCCAAAGCGGATTGTACTCCGATTTGCTTAATATTGTTTTGCCATAGTCCCTAGCCTCGGTAAATACGCCACGAAAGTCGTTATTTGGGTCTTCATATTTACGAAAAAACACCTTTGATTCTCCACTTTGAAAATAATCTAAGTTAACAAATGACCAGTATGGTGCAAGACAAGCAGAACCACCACTCCCATCATAGGTACCAAAATTCCGAGGATTTACTTCGTAACTGCGTGACTGAAATTTCACTAACCCGTTCGCGCATACCTGAAAAATGATGTACAAATAAGTCCCTGGCAAAATGAACTGGATATACGATTGCATGTGTAACCGGTAGGTTTGTATGACAATTTACAACTGCATCCGTGGTTTATTTCCCTTTCATTGATCATTTTGACTTCTACTTTAATACGATCAGTATGGAAGGAACTTTAATGTTTAGAGTGTAGTGTGCATGTGGGTCGGTTTTAGAATTCTTAAAAAATTTTGCCTACAGGTAGCTTTAATTAAAATCTTATAAAAGTATCTACACTCTGTAGAAAAATGCATGCAGTGTTTTCTTGCTGTATAAAAGCAGGACTAAGGTTAAAGATACGCTTTAGAAGAAGATGCGATTAAAAAATATTTAATTTAGCCTTTGATTGAGATCCAAATCTTCTGCACAGTGATGTATATATGAAGGATAAGGGATACTGGCCTCCTAACACTGCATCCAAATAATAAATAGATTTGCCTCTATGGTAATCCCTAACCTGTCGCAGTTGGGGATGGAGGGATTGGATTGGGATTGTTTTACTCCTTGCTATTCCATGCAGTGGTCCAGGTCAGACAATTGTGCACTGGGTGAAGAAAGCACCAAATTTTGCATAGTGATAGGATTTCGTGTGACAATTAGATTTAGATATAGACATTTCAGAGTTGCTAATGGTCGCGACAAAACAACGCTTTAGTTTATAAAATTGTCTTATAAATTTCTATATTTAAAAAGAGGTGAAGACATAAGTTCACTTTTACTAGATATACATGCATGTAGATATTGCCTATATCATTTTACGAAGCGATTCAGATTAAATTTTACATGAAATCCTCAAACCTCACAAAATGGAAAATAACATATACCTACAGTATCATATTTCGGGAATTCATTGCAGCTGTATAGTTAAATATAAAGTATTAATGTTTCAACTATTTTGCCGCGTTGTAAAAATATATGAAAGAATTAAAAATTTAAAAATATCGTGTTATGGCAACACTTCATGCACGCCACAACGCGAGCCTGCGTTCAATGTTGGCCAATTAATAATACTTCACGTTAAATGAATGTTTGGAAAATATAGAGGAGGGGTTCCTGTATGCAACCAATTGCCTATAGTAGTAATATCGTGCTTGTCATCTCTTCTAAACGATCGCAACCGTATCCCTATTCCCGATTTTATATTAAGCATGTCATAAACTTTAAGCCAGGGAAGAATTTCAGCAAATTCTCAGCAGGAACATGCACTGAGTACCGAGGAATTAACTTAAAATCTTAAATATATTTGTGCCCATATCAAGAACAGATAAAACTGTATGCTTGTCCTTACATAGGCTCTTGTGAAGTCATTTCCTTTAAAATTGAATCCAATCAATGGCAGATTCAGCAGTACACAGTCAGCTGTTTTCCGTGTAACTGCTCCTGTTCCTGAATCTTCGACTATTTGAAAATTGATCTCAGTGTCGCTAATGTAATCAATACACCGACCTGTAAGAAAAGAACGAACAGTTATCGCATACGAGTTATATCTTTCTTGCATGATAAATGTATATTAAATCTTAAGGCTATCGTAGGGTATTATTATAAGAATTTATATTAGTTATTATTGCGGCATTTTAAACAATTTACAAAGAAAACTTGAGTTCCAAAAAAAAAAAAAGAAATTTACCATTAGGTAGGCACTTACCATTTCCCAGACCTGATTCTGCGCTTCCCTCAAACACTCCATTCTGACCTATGAACAAAACAGTAATATTTTGGCTCATGCGCAAGCACCATACATTTAATGATATTGTATCTTGCATATCAAAACACCCTTCCGAAAAGTGCTCGATCTTGGCTATAGAGCCTCGTTTTCGTGATTCAAATTTTGGGTTTAGAGCTTTTTATCTTGTTGCAGTTGACCCATCACACATGTTATGGAACCATGCAGTAAATATCAGCGAATAATTATAAAAGAGGTATACATTTACAATTTTGTAACATAAAAGGCCCTTATGCCAAAAATAAAATAAACCAACAAACAAGTGCATGCATATGAGCAAAAACGTTATCGAAGCCAGCTCTCTTCGTGCTCGTGGGCGCTCTCCTTATATCACTACGCCACAACCAACATATCGGCTATCTGTAATCATTTCGTTTCTTTTTTTCCTTCTTTATAGAACAAAGTAGGTTAAAATAACCACTTAATATAGCCGCTTAACCGCCACTTAAGGTGGCTCCCTACAGTTAGTACAGTTTAAATACGATTTATATAGATCAGACTTCATCCTCACGACCAGCGCGTGGAATCGTCGTGTTTACTGTTCGGCAAAAATATTGAAACAAACCGCGGGAAGTTTTTTGGCGTTTTTATCTACAAAGAAATCTCCAGTTTTTCATTATAATCCTAATTTTTTCTGAATTCAAACAGTACGTATGTTATTAACTAGTTTAACCTATCTTTTAGTGTGTTTTTACGCATTTACATTCAGTATTGTCTTTCATATTGCTCAAAATTTTCAACTTGTTGTGTTGCGAACTGTCAAACTGAAATGATACTGTCTTCTATTAACTCTTGAACAGTAGAGAACTGTCGCCGAAATTTGTGTAAGTTCTGTCATTCAATTCAATTCACAGGTATCGTCTTATCTGCTAAATCAAATAAAACAGTTATGAGTTGTTTTATATGAAAAGACGAAAAGTTAAACCTGTAGTTCGATGTTTTGAAAATTTTACACGCCGATTTAAAAACAAAAACAAATGTAAACTAACACTGGATTTAATACAATGCGTATAATAGTGTTTTTTATTAGTATTTTCGAGATTAATATTTTATTTTCATGTCAAACAAGTCAGAAATATCTGTTTTCGTATGTATTGTAAGCCAAAAAGTTGAAATCACTATAAATCACACGCTACAATTTACACGCATGCGCAGATCATGCTCATGTCGAGTCGATTTTTTTTCATGCTGGCCACGCCGATTTTAGCGATGATTTTCTCGTGTTTTCTTCGGTGAATTTTTTTTAAACTTTGTATTTTTGTTATACAAGACGAGTGGTACAACATATCCAAATTTTAAGAAATTCTACAAATAACTTTTTCTGTAACCGTCATTCACGAATATCTCGATGTTTTTCCTTTATGGACTATAAATCTTCAAACAAAATTTCGGAACAATTCACCGAAGGAAAATATAGATATTGTCAATTTATTGTGAAATTAGACAATAAAAGTGCAAAAGATTAAACGTCATGGTTGCCATGGCAACACGAACACTGTTTTAATTTGTTCATAAATGGACAGCACACAGCTTCTGAACTTCCCTGGAAATGATCATATTGCCCTGTCTTAAGTGTATCTAATATAAATTCGGTTCAAAGCGAACGTTACTCAAAATACCTAGAATTTTAGAGAACTGTAGGGAGCCACCTTAATAGCCAACATATAATAGCTACATATAATAGCCACTTAATGATAGAGCGAGTGATGCACGTCAACAGAGGACGATTATTTTGAAGTTGAACAGTTTTGGAAGTATTTTATTCTATTATATTCTTTATTTAATTTGATTCTTTAACCGATGATTACTATTAAACTCACTTTCGAAAGTCGTACACTTCAGATTTAGCAATCAGTTAAAGCTCAATTTGCCGAGTTTTGGGCGCTGTCATTTTTGCTCGCTTCCAGTAGAATTGATGACGGAATGGGCCACAAAATGCAGATGAGGTTTCATATGTACGGAGGTATATGCAGAGGTCGTTTTATTTCCTCGTTTTTAACTGTATAGTATGCAATGTTTAACTACCTTATTATAGACATGACAAAATTACTGCAATCTGATTGGTTAAGAGGAGTGCAATTATTTCATTAATTATTTATCTTCTGTAGTCAGTGGCAAATACTGCAATTTCATTGGTTTACAGAGGTGTGATTTGAGCATTACTCTTGTCTACAGCCAATGAAAATCAGTCTAGTATTTACAACTAGCCAATCAGCATTCAGGATACAAACTTTGAATTTTATTTTCTTTATCGCTCTAAAAAATTTCAAAATGGAGGAATTCACAAATTTTGACCTTTTAATTTTTAAGTCAGCCCTCGACAACAGTCAAAATTGAGGTCGGAAAAAAATGCCCACCTAAATCTGACCTAGCTCGGCACATCTCGGCATTTTTAAAAATCTGTTTCCATGTCTTGGAGCACTAGTAGCCTGTACTAGTAATCACGTATTTACGAACATTGAAAAGTATAAATGTCACGAAGGCTTTTCTTTTAGAGTCTTAGTCTTACCTAAATTATATCATAATACCCGTTAATTCTTAAACCCTACACCAATGTGTATCGAATTCTACACAAAGTGTATCGAATTCGCTGACTTTTTAACAGCTATAAGCACAAAAAAAGATTCTTACTTTGGCTGAATTAAGGTCGGCAAAACATTGCCGACCTGGGAGGTTGATAGGTCGGCATTTTAATACTGTAGGTCGGCATTGCCGAATGCCGATCTCGTTTTCGAGGGTTGTCCCCGAGCCGACGGCGCGAAGCGAGGGTACTAATTCCCCCCGGCTATTTACACCCGGGGAAACGAGAGCATTAGCGGAGTCTAAAGTTCATCAAATATCGCGGGCGTGGGTCACCAACGGTGTTGGGTGGGTGGTCATCCTCACTGATCTCAAAAATATGGCGGACTGTCACGACTAGCGGACACTGATTGGTCCAATTTAAAGTTTGCATTATAACGACTGCATGACGACAGCGAAATAGCAAACATTTCTTGAGTTGATTTGATGATTGATAAATTTCTTGTAAATATATTTCATTTTTGCTCGCATTTTTGCAATATTTTGTAAATTTCAAAAGCTCTCTGAGAAAGGAACTGCGAAAGAATCGGCTAAAAGAAGGGAGCCGACGTTAATGAAGGTAAGTTTGTTTTAAATATTGATTTTGTAATGGTTTAAAACCCGACGGCCTTTGCGTATTTGAAACAACTAAACAAGACAGCATATAATTTCAGTGTATCTTTAATATTGATTCCCTTTTTTGTGATATTGAATTTTTTAAATAAATAAGAAAGCAAAGTTATTTGCAAGCGAGAATTTTAAATAATTTTATTGCAAACTCAAAGTTTATCGATAAAGCCATTTTAAAAGGCAGTTTAGTTTTATATTAAAGAACACTAATGACTTTAAAACGTTTTACGAAGCGTTTGTGGTTGAATTTTACCTCGAGGCTTATATTACGTATAATAACATACCTAACATATATATGTTGGGAAATTAATAATTTTGTGATTAAAAGTGATATTTATAGGCGATTTTTCATTTCTAAGAATATTCTTAAAAAATTATCGTGTTACCATGACAACTTAGATACTTCATGTTTGGAAAATACAATGGTTTTGTCAGCAAGGCGAGGGTTTCTGCATGCATGTATTTTCTAGTATTTATGTTTATATTTACGTGACTAGAAGTGGCTCCTTGAAGCTCTTTTAGTCGCCCGTCTAACGCGTTTTGAAATGGCTTTAATTGTGGCGTTGTAAACAAGCTTATTTCATATGGCGCGGCATCGGTGTCAAAAATGTTATTCTATTTTAGGATAACACACACAATTGTTCATATAACGCTGTAAATTTTGGATCACACACGACTTTTCATATAACGCTATAAATTTCGGATAACACACGACTTTTCATATAACGCTATAAATTTCGGATAACACACGACTTTTCATATAACGCTATAAATTTCGGATAACACACAACTTTTCATATAACGCTATAAATTTCGGATAACACACAACTTTTCATATAACGTTATAAATTTTGGATAACACACGATTTTTCATATAACACTTTCAATTTTGGATAACACACGACTTTTCATATAACGCTATAAATTTCGGATAACACACAACTTTTCATATAACTCTATAAATTTCGGATAACACACAACTTTTCATATAACTTTAATTATGATCCTTTGCGAGCTTACGGGCTGCTAGAGCACGTGGGCAAGAAACTTGAAATTTTTATAGTACATGCACATGTTTTTATACATCGCTGAATTTAAAATCTAAATATTTCGCAAATCCTAAATTATGACATCCTCTCGTGGAAATGTAAGTGGGAACACAGCTATAGGGAACTTTTGAAAAATTGTGCTAGCAGGGGCGGCGGAACAGGGGGGGCTAGGGTGGCTAAAGCCCCCCCAGAAGTAAAAGTGGGGGGGCTTAGCCCCCCCAGAAAATTTGAATTTTTGGAAAAAATTTTGATAATTAGGGAAAAATTTAGGTTATTTTTTGAAAATTTGGGTATAAGGGGACAAATTTGCAATATTTTGTTTGAAAAAGACCTATTTCCGGAAAATTTTTTTGATATAAGTCCGGAAAAATTTTTTTCGTCCCTTTTTTGTTATATTGTACCCCTAAAGTGGTACACTGACCGAAATTTTTTTGGCGAAGGGGGGGGGGAGGTCGCCGAAAAAATTTAGCCCCCCCAGAACGAAATCTGTTCCGCCGCACCTGTGTGCTAGTAATCTTGACGAAGCGTGGCGATTGTTATTAAACGAGGAAAATGCTCAGAGTGATGGTCGGACAACCACTGTGAAGTACGCATGAGATTCAACATGACATTCAACATGATATTCGATATGGTGTGAACTCACTCATTTCAATTACTCAGAAGTAAAAATGAAAAATATAGCCATTTCTTCTCTTCCAAATGAATTAGAAAGAAAGAAATCATATAGTTCGTATTAACTAATTAATAACTTTATGTTTTATTGCACACAAAGCAACAAACGCGCCAGAGACTCTGGCGTACC